AACAGTGTTGTTTAAAAATGATACTTAATATGGCTACAGCCATTTTTGGATTTGATATTCTAGCAGCAGCTCGCTGAGACTGACTGGAAGCACTTATTCTTCCAGTATCGGAACTTGTTGTTGTGATTAGAAACTCGAATGTGTAATATTGTTTTGGTAATTGTTTGTATTTCCCTTTTTGATTAAATATAGAATGGTTCTTTCCCAGAATTTATATTTGTGGACTTGGACTGGGCGAGACGCCTGTGAACCTTTCGGTTTCAGAGCTCACTGCGAGAGAAATAAATACTTTTACAGAAGATACTTCCAGACTGAGCTAGCAGCCACAATACTGGAAATCCAAATTGTTTTTATAGTTTAATGATCAAAATAAAATCTACGATCCAAGTCACTAAGATTCAAGTCACCACTAATTTAGAGATGGCTGGCATCTTTAATGCCAACTTCGCAGACCAATAAAGCTAAGTACCCACGGTCTCGGAGCACCCGTCAAACGAAGTGCCAAATACTGATCTGATCTAATTAATTTCCATTCCAATACTAAGAAGACTCAAATCCTGGCGTCAACGAGAGTCAGTAGGATGTGGAAACAACCACCCTGTAATCCTGAACACCAATCCATCATTTATTCATTATATGAAGTAGCCGAAGTAATGCATTTCCGGTTGGGTAGAAACAAGTCTATCTCTATCAAATTTGGCTGCAGAATGCCCAGTTATTGCAAAGAGCTTGTTTACTATAGACCCTGAAACGAATATTTCCTTCAAATTTGTAAGTGTAGCGCTTCATAAAAATGTGAGGAGAGGAAGTGCAATATTAATAATATATTTATTCTCTAAAAACATCTTGTTACGAGAAGCATGTCAAATTTTACACATGGTACCTCACCATTTATTCATCATATTAACTTGAATGATTAGTCGTTTAACTAGTTCAGTAACAGTACGGACCTTCTTAAGATTTATGTTTGCATGCTTACCAGCTTGTTATATGTGTAGCCAATTACTGAATGACTCTAAATACTGAGACATCCTTTAGATGATTAGGGTTGGTTCACTTGCCTTCTCAGATTCACTTCTCTTTGATTGCACTACTTTCTTTATCGTGCCTGTCTGAGAAAGCGTGAAATAAATAATTCCACAACACCATACTAAGCTTTTTATTACCGCCATCGCACAAACAGGAAATGGCTAAGTATACGAAAACGTAATCAAAGATTTATTTCATCGCGAATTCGGTAAATCCTCTAAAATGTAATAACCACTAAACTGTTGTTGCCTACTTAGAACTAACTAGAGCTACTCAAAACGTTGAACTGACACTTTGCAAATAAGAACACGATTCTGAGTGCAAGTTAAGGCCAAATGATCAATAGGGAAAGTTTGAAAAATTTAGGTGAGTGAGTCATGATTAACCGTGATCACCACTAACTACTAATTACTAGCCCGTCACTGTCAAGATAAATAAATCCAGGGTAAAGAATATATTTGCTGGTGATTTCGTGGTGTCGGGATTTGTCAGCGCGGCAGATTTAATGGCACTTCAACCCTCACGTATCAAGTCACAGAAGTGGAGTTTGGGAACGGATGATTAGATCTATACGACGGCTGTTGTTATTGATCTCTAGAGGAGAGACGTTGACTGATGAGACTTTATGCACTTATTTGGTTGAAACTGAGAGGATATTGAACGACGGATCCTTAACCCAAGCCGTCCAATATGCCAACGATAAACCAGCCTTATCGCCAAATAGTTTGCTGCTGTTGAGAGTATGTGACGGAATAGTCGGAGAAGGTAGTATCAGAGATAAATATGGCAAATGTTGGAAGCCGGTTAATTATTTAGCTAATGTGCTTTGAAAAAGGTGGTTAAGAGAATACTTGCCGTCCCCACAAACACATAATAATAACAATAATAATAATATATTTATTCCCAATAACTACGTTACAAGAGTCACGCCAGTTTACAGGCTAGATCAAATTGTCACAAATGCTTTCACAATTACTGTAAAGTTATAGCAGTTAAATTAAGTATAAGAGTCAGTTTCTGATAGCATATTTACACTATGTCACTGACAGAAACAGTATTATACAGCCACATTTTCAATAGTAGAGTACAAATAATTAAGGTGCACAATATGTTCTTTTTTGCGATTTGTCGAGATCAATAGTGAATTTGTTGGGAAAGGTCATATGGAACGCGCTTGTTACGAGCTGTGATCTAGACAGTCATGTTCATAGGGTGCATGTTCCCTAGAGTCGCCAAGTATTTCCCACCGTGAAAGGGGTTCTGAAAAGGAGAAGAGAGAGAGAAAAGCACTACTTAACCTGTCATGTTGAAGTAGTCTATACAGTAGTAAATCAAGATAAAGTTCATACTGACCACTTAAATTAAATTAAATTATGGGAATATAAGAATATAACGCACAGATAAAGGAGTACAGCAAAAAGAAGGAAGAGTTGTGCAGTGTCAGGTGGATAGAAGAGGAGTCGAAGTAAAAAGCTGGATTTATGTACGTTGAAATCGAAAGATTAAAGTTTGTAAAGAGAAAACTTTGTTGAATTAAATCTCGCACTGTCTAACTGTTTTCTATTATTATTATTATTAGAGAATACCAACCTCTAAGTCATACTGTAGGCGCCTGAGTAAGAATGTTGCGGGTGTCTCCACAGAATAGCGAACTCAGCATAGTTTTAGAAACATGAACCACAGAAGTAGCAAGCGTATAAGAGCAACCTCAGTGTTACTGATTAGTCGTCTCATCAATCTAAAGAGCCGAATGCAAACAAAAATGGAAATGGAACATCGCAATTTCCAGAAAGTAGACGTAGCAATCGTGGCCTCGTATATTTTGACACGTAGAAAGTGGCCTTTAGCAGTATTTGAAAGCTTAGCACGCTAACTGTTCGTACGAATAACGGAATAGTTAGGAGGGATATACGTAAGGTATGTCTCCTTGAAAGATCGAATTGGTTCTTCGTTATATCCACGTAGGAGGTCAGGTAGGTGTACTGCTGTAAGTCCAACTCGTTCTTCTAGTGTGGATTATGCTCTAGAATGAACCATGACCAAATGCATCGAAGTGGCTTTGCTTTGTATGAAGGGACATCGCGGGCCGTTGTAAGATCCATTTTTGAAGTGCTTTTTTGTGAAAATTCCTTCATGTATTTATTGCTTCAGTTGTACGTTTCGTAAGTCTGTTAGATTCTATTTCAGATGATAATATTTGTACTTTATTATAGTCTCTATTTCTTCTGCCTTCACTGAGTTTCTATGTTACTTTGTGAACTGCATTTATGTTGTTCAAGCTGATACTTAGTCTTGGCGCCAGCCATATTGATTTGTGTCTCCTTTGATTGAGTTGCTTGCTTTGACTGGAATTATGAACTTTGAGTGTGAATCGAAGCACTCTTGCAGAATAGGAAACACTCTGTTTTATAAAGCAACTAAATATTATCTGTCGAACGAATCTGATCTATCCAGGAGGGATAGAATATCAGTTATCTGTTGCTGTTGACTTGATTAATCGTACAATTGTCGGTGGAATAAGTGAGCGATAATATTTGTTTAGAACCGTCATTTACCCAAGTCACTTTATTTGTTTTTGAGCTGAGCGAGGCGGGTATCTAAACTACATAGAGTGCAATTCCCCAGTTCAAGCCCTTATTTGGATCCTGCACAGACTATAGTTAAACCATGAAACTAACACTTAGCGAAGACTAATTTTTCTAGTTCCAGTCGGCGGGTTTCCGCTGTAACTGACGTTCTGTCGCTTATTATATGCCTTATCATACAGTTGATCACTGACTGAACGTCCTCGGTTTGATTACTTTTAGGAATTCATCAAATTCAATATTAAATAAATAATAATGCAATTATATATTAGTTATTAGGCACACGAACTTCGCAGTGTTAAAACCCATGGATTTGATCTTCGTCAAATTGTCCATGAACTTTACCCAACGAGAATCGAATAGCAATACATAGAGCTGTAGGAAATCGATACTGAGTATGGCTGAGGGAAAATAAGCAGGGATGAACGTCCACAGATACTGTCGTCGACTATTCAGGTTGATCGCTAGCTGTCGTGTTCTGTAGGTAGGAATGTCAGAGCCATTCGCAGCGTGTGGTCGAATCATCGAAGCTTGAGACTTGCCGCTACCAGATGGTACGTCAGAAACTTGGACTCCTGTAGCCACAAGGTACCTAGCGTTAGCGCGAAGATCGTGAACGAAAAATAAACGAGCAACCTGAAGTGAATGGGAGGAGACAGGTGAAAATGCAATGACCAGCATCACGGAGTCTATTATTATCATTATCCCCCATTTGGAAACGTTGTTTCAAGTATAATATATATTAAAGGACATTATTATTAGTTTTGCAGGTTGATAGAAACTAGGATAGATGAATAATTGATTCATCGTAAATGACTTCTTTAGATGAAACGTCAGCTCACCGATTTTAGTGAGTGAGTCATGATTAACCGTGATCACCACTAACTACTAATTACTAGCCCGCCACTGTCAAGATAAATAAATCCAGGGTAAAGAATATATTTGCTGGTGATTTCGTGGTATCGTTAGTATGCTGAGATTTTACCAAGATGGTCAGCAAAATATAGAGCAGCTATTTCAAATAAGTCAGGAGACTTGATTCATGTGCACCATTACAGAGATTACGTCACAAATTCATTCCATGCTGCTCGCTAATATTTCATTCGCATCTTTTATCCACAAACTCTAACGCAGTCACACTACATCTCCGATGAACAGACTAATTTCTTTTGTTTGTGAATCATCGTCATTTTAACAATAAAATACTGTATGTACTGCTTTCCTTATCGCAAAATACTGATCTTCGTCCCTGAAAGACAATCGAACTTAAAGAAATCAACTGCTTTATGCTAGCTCGTGAAAAAGTTATTGCGTTAGACACTAGATATTGAAATGGACATTGAAATGTGGATATTCAAGGTCGCCGCGAAATCTAAAATCTCTAATGGGTTAACAATAAACAGCAATGATTAGCTGTTTTGACAACATCACTGATTGTTGTTTTTCACTAATTTGTAAAGGTTAGTGTTATATTGTACAAAGAGACCTCATCCGATCTCAAGTTTCAGATTAAAATCTTAAATTTATATTTATTTCACAGTTCAACCAATCTGACAATGAGATTGTTTTTGCTTTATCGTTTCTAGCTCTGAAAGTACGACTTTCAAAGCTCTAGATCTCTTAAATTGCTCAGATTATCTTTTATATCTAATTAAGTCGAAACGGTAATTAAGTTGAATGAGCTGTTTATTCTAATGAAACCTGGCTGTAGTCGGTTATATAAGTCTAGTTTGAGCGTCTTGTAGGTGTAACTTTGTAAATTGTAGAACTGATAAACATAGGCTGAGGTATTCTACATAAATTTTTGGGAAGTCTAATCAAAGATTATTATTCCTTGAATTTTCTCAATGGCATACACTAGTTTATGCCAATCTAGTGCATATTATTTAGACCTGCAATGAAGTGATACACACTATGTTAAGCTGTAAATTACTAATCTCAGATTGTATTTCACAATGGGGGGCATATATTTGTCACCTATTAAGAAGCCGGTATTACTGAGCACTCGAACCTTATTATAAAATTTACATTAGAATACTAAAAGAATGACCTACTACAATCTTTTATATGGTATTTTGCCCACGTAATGCTCGTGCTTGGTGTAGTGTGACTGTTGAGTCTCCATCAACTTGTACTCACTTCTGGCTGTAGACCAATATTACAAATTAATCTCGTCAATGCAGAACCATATTGTGAATGACCTGAGCGCGATCAAAACACGACGTGGCATCATTCTTCAAATCTTAGCTGTTTCGGTAGTTGCTGTTTTTACTTGTAAGGTTAATATGTAGAAGGATCCATCCGTACGAGCGAAAATGCCTCTACAAACTCAGTATCTTAGATTGAAGAAGAAATTTTGAACTTTTTATCATGCTTGGGTTGCTTTAGAAAAGAGCATGGTTTGGTCGAAACCCTGATAGTTATGCTTTATAACCCATTGGTGCCTATGCCGTTCTGATATATTAATTTTTAAAACTTGTTATGCCCACTAATTGTACTTTACTCTTTCACATTTAACCAGCTATCTCGTGGCCAAGCATAAATTCAGATTTTGTTTCTCTTTTATTATCTCCATTTAAAAATTTTACTGACTGATATTGTTGAGAGCTGTTTATCCCTCAACCCGAGCAGCTACTAACTCCTGGTCCAATACGGTCACCTAACTACTTACTTAATGTATAAATATTAATGTATTTTGGATAGCATTATTGCTGCTATTAGCAGACAACAAATTCTTAAACGTTTATTTATCATCTCAATGGATACAAATGCAAACCAAAGTAGATGAGACGGAGTTTGAAACTATAACGTTTTTTTAGAATTGAATTTTTCAGCTGCTGAGTAACCGTTAGGATTAAGTGTGATCTGATTTATTAGGGAATGAAATTGTAGTTAGTAATAGAATTAAATTGCAACTTATTTATCGAATATATAATACTATCCTTAACACGTCTGCTGTAACTTTCATCTAAATCTTGTACTTCTCGCAGCATACCGAATCCAGTAGTGTGGTTTGCCAGAGTGTTAAGGGGACTAATTTGCGACCCAAGAGAATGGAATTAACACGAAACGAATCAAATAAGGGAAGAGAAAAACTGAATTTTATGGAGGTAGCTGTGATTTGTGCTTTTTCGCATCTTTCCGAATAAACTCTCTGCTACCCCAAAGATTTACTTGCAATGTCCACAACTCTCAACCTGACTTAAATGTAAGACGGCAATGGTTATATCTTGCCTGTTGCTGTGCAATTTTAAAACCTAAACCTAATAAAACCAGTGTTTGAATCAGTAAATAAATGCAGTTATATATTGATTATTTAAGAGCAAAATTCATGTTGAACAAGTGTATACACTGAGTAAATGTTTAGCAGTCATCATCAGGATAAAAATAGAGCGGTGCACTGAAATTATCGAATATTAAACAAAACAATTATCTAGTCGATCAATAAACTTACTGGTCTTCGCTTCTTGTCAATGAATACTTTTGTCTGTTGTGTACCATTACAGTTCATTCTCTGGGTATTAGCTTATGTACACGACATAAGGAGTAACAATGTTAACTGGAACCCGGAAAAAGTCGAAGAATTAGATAACAGTTTGTAGAACCATGGTTGAAAGCCAGATGCTATACCCTCGAAGCTACCACATCATTATTCAAAGTAAGTATACACTTCCCTGTGATGCAAAGGAAGAATTAAGGTTTATGCCCAGAAATTAGTTGTCTGTTCTTTAAGTTGCAAATAATCTATTACCATCCAGTTTCAGTTGTTAATCACCTTATGCTATTTGCTTTTTTCTATTCAAAGGAACATAATGAGTCACATTAGGTATCTAACTCGTAGAATGAGTGCAGTAACAGTTGCTGCAACGTTATTTACTTTCACCTTAATGCTTCAGTCAATTATCATCATATATAACTACTCGTCTGTTGTCAAGAATGCTTCTAAATCAATTAATGTAGCTTATGTAAAGACAGTCCCTGGAAATATCACGTTAACTCCTGATTGGAGCTCTGATAATACTCTGTCAATAGAACAGTCGAATATATCAACATCTAATAATACACGACGAATTTTCATAAGTCCTAGCTTTTCTTCAGGTTCTGATGATTTGGAATATCCTATGATGGTGGATATGCCGAAACTCGTCAGAGAAGTTCTTTCTAACTCAACCTTAAAATTTCATCCAATAAACGATCCACAATTTCCAATACTCATAGGTGAATATCAAAAGTGTGACAACATACTGTTAAAAACAGGAGAACCCCCAGAACTATTGATTCTCATCAAATCTGCTCCATCAAACTTTTTACGCAGAGATACTATACGCCTAACATGGGGTAATGATCTTTGTTGGGGTGGACGTCGTGTCATACATCTTTTTCTTCTTGGAAATGTCCCATCTGACGACACAGATTTAAAATCTATATTAAAAAATGAATCTGATGTAAATCATGATATAATTCAACAAGATTTTCTTGATACTTATTATAACAATACATACAAAGCTATGTTTGGTATTAATTGGGCAGTGAAATATTGTTCAAAGGTCCCGATCATTATGTTTGTGGATGATGACTATTTTATCTATCCGAAAAATGTTATCGCCTATATTGAAGGTTTGAGCACAGAGCTGCGTAAACTCTTAATCAGTGGTTACGTTTGGTTTAATGCTGGACCAATTCGTAAGAATATCACCACTCACATTAAATGGGTAGTTGATTATAAAGAATATGCTCCACGTTTTTATCCTCCTTATGTTGCAGCAGGTAATTTTTTTCTATCAATGGATTTAGCACGTGAATTAAATGTCGCTATGCGTTACACAAAATATCTACGATTTGATGATGTTTACCTGGGAATATTACTTAGGAAGTTATTACATGTACCAATTCATTTAGATAAGGTTTATACATATCAAACTGTAAATTTACATTCACCAGAGATATACGACATGATTTCTAGTCATGGTTATGGCGAATCTGTTTCACAATTCTTCTTATGGGATCATTTAAAATGCTCAACATTTTGTGTACAGTCTCTTGTATGACTTACTATTATTTGTCTTTTTTTATACTTCTCGATTTACATTTATCATGTTTCTCTTTCGTTTGTAAGTAATTCCTCCCTGGTTTGTCCAAATGTCAATGTAGATGAAACTAGAGGTCAATCAAGAAGAAACTTTGCCGCTGTTATTCCTTATTTTGTCCTTATTGTTGTTATTGAGATCACCTGTCTTATTCATTTTCACTCTAATTGTGTATACTTTTAATGTTATCTGATACACATGAAATAACTGATTTTTTTAACGCTAGATATATTTTCAGATATTTATTCTTATAGTTGCAATACTTTTGATAAAGCCTCTGATAAAATATGCTAAATGTATTTAGTAATCAAAATAATTTATGCTTGACTAAAAATAACCTTTTCTGTACATACATATCGGATTTGATTTGCTGTTATCAGGTCTGAAGCTATTTTATACTTCCAAAAGAAAAAGAAAATTCATTCAATATTAGCTTCTTAGTTGCAGATTTGTAGAATATCATTTGTAAAATAATTTCCCGCGATTTTTATTCTTTGAAAGTGAAAGAATTCACAAAATTAGTCTAAGATCAACGGCGAAATCTTTTCAAATGTTTAAATTTCCTAAATGTCTACCATGCACTTAATATTTGTAAGCCAAGTTAGTGATAGATTGTTTTACAGATAGCTGTTTCATCGATCTAAATATGTTTTAAATATAGTGGCCAGTAGTGATATCTTAATGAGTGCAGCTCCTCAAAGTGACAGTCAAGACTGTCAAGTTGATGGATTCTAGGTTGAAAGATATAAAGAAGTTTTAGACTCACTTCCTTTTCGTTCTTTAAACTGTAATCACAATGATAGTTGAGAAAGCAGCTTCTTCATTGTCTGCCTAATTCTTGTCGGAAATGATTGTAAAACCTATATGATCTACTCAGCTACTTCACATGTAAATATCCAGGTTATATGGTCTGGTATCAAGTGTAACTGTTCTGATTTAATCTAGTGTTGCAATTAATGGATATGTTTACAGATAAGTTTTTAATTCAAAATCATATGCGTCCAACAAATAAGAATGAAACATTATCTTCCATGTAACTGTGCTGTTTCTGTGGCGGTTTTGATTGGAATTAAAAATCTGTTGGAATCTCTCACAATCGTACGATCGGCGTAACTGATTCGACAAGAGCAAATATTCTGGTGAACACAAATGAAAGAGATGGATCTTGATAACACGACTTTGAGAATTATAAGTAAGATAGTGTCCGTTCAAATAAATACCGAGTTCCTACTTACGTTGACATAAATCATATTCTGAATATAAGTCAATGATAATTAGTTATCTTGTCTGTTTGATTCAAAATCAATCTTCAAACATTGGGCTCATTGATGTCAAACTGAATTACATGAATTCTAGCGGTGTACAGATATTTGAATAGATGAGTATATGTAAATGTCTATTCTCGAAATAATAATGTGTTGTAGTGAGATTTTATTAACTTTCTTATCTACACATCATGTTTCCTAGCAGTACCCTATTCACTTTGATCTGTATATTAAAAAAAAATTTTTACATGATATACATTTGTAATCAAAAAAGAAATCATAAAATAAATAAATAAATCTACGTACTATACTCCTTTTATGTCAGATAATCAATATGTATTAAGTTTGGTAAAGAAAAACAAAGTGATTGTTCTTCTCTATGAGAGCTTAAAGCTGACCTCTTAGCCGATTCTTATAATTGCAGACTATTTCTACAATTAAATATAAACATTAAAGATCATTAACAAAGTATGAATTAAAGATTTATCACAAAATCAGTCCAGTTTCTTTACAGGCTTTCAGATCATCCTGATATTCTACAAATTTCAAGCAATGTACCATAAACTTACTTATATATCTATTTCATTTAGGCATTCATGAACAGATAAACAAAAAAAAAAACTGTACTTGATCAAATTTTCATTGTTATTAAGGGAAGTTAATTTACTTAGATTATAAAAATAGAATATAAAATGAGCCATGGTAGAACTCGATCATTTTGATCAAAGTTCAATAAACCCTAAAGTTTTTGAATTGAAATGTTTTCAAACATCAAAGATGCTTATCTAAGTTAAATGTACAACTTTGTTGTACAGAAAATATATGAAAAATATTCTAGAGAATTTAAATTGCTTATATAATATTACTATATATATATATATATATATATATATATATATATATATATATATTTCAAAATCAGCTTCTTCACGAAATTACTTCTTTCAGTTATATATGGTAATATTTTTCTTATGAGGAGCTAAAATCATGATGCAGATTTGAAATTCATATGAACACTTTCCAAAAGGACTGTGCCCTCTGAACTAAATAGTTTTTTTAGTTTGTTTAGACACTATAATCACGATCTAATCCATGTGAAATAGAGTTTTCTTAGGTATAAAAGCATGAATACAATTCTTCAAGTTGATAAAACATACGAATGATGAAAAAAAGAATTATTCGAAGATCTTCATTGATTATTATTATTATTATATCATCCACTGTATAATTCATTGTTTAACAATGAACATGCTCATAGTGATTTATTGTAAACTACCGTATTTGAACATAAAATCAATATCAACTTCGGTGTCTCCTAATCTATTATATTTTCCCTAAATTATTCGTGAGTGGATAAGGTTGGACAGTATAGTTATACATTTGAGTTATATTTAAAATAGATCGATAGTGGATTATGCAATGTTTACTATAAGTGACGACGAAACAGAGAAGTTATTTATGTAAAATGGAAACTAGTGAAGTGAGTAATATTAGTAGGCTTTTTTTATGCAGTGTATTTCTACAATCGTTAGAAGATCATTACCATTAACCAAATCAATATCTATTTAACATTATCACGTCATGATTAGTCTTTAATTCAACATCAGTAAAAACAATGTGCTGGTGTTATATGTGAATATTCATGTCAGTCACATCATAGCATTATCAACAAATTTAGAACCAATGAAAATTTCAAATCTTGCACATTATTGTCAAATCTTTTTAGGCAGACGTGATTTTCCTAGATTTCTATCTACTCAATTTTCTTAAACTAACTAACTAACTAATGTATATTCAACTGGTCTGAACGGATGATTATAATAGAAATCGTTTTCATGTAATACTTGTTACCTAGTTTATATGTATTTCTGAATTATATCAAAATATTAGAATTATGTCAATGAATTAATATGTTATCAATAAATAGGTCAATAGTTCACGCAACTGAACCGTACTACCATAATTATTTTGATGATGACACATTTATTACTTGTATTGAAAATCATTTATTTTCTGAGTGATAATTTGTATTCGACAAGATGCGAATAATATATGGTTAAAACATTCACTAGTGTGTTCTCATTTAATTCAATGTTTTTATTTTCATGCTATATATATATAGCGTAATTTGCAACTCAGTGTCAGTAACCGTTTGTCTCAAAACAATTAATCACGGACCATTAAGAGTGACTAATATTTTTTTCTTAATGTATGACTTGTAGTTGGTAATAATCATATATGTATTACTGGGTTGTGAAGATTGTTAGGTTACACATTTTTTTTGAAACCATGAATCGATCAATGTTAGACAACCATTAGAAACCTGGAGGCACTGGACGTCCGTTTCGTCCTGGTATGGGACTCCTCAGCAGTGCGCATTCACGACTCCTACCCTCCGGCTCAGTGGTCCGATGGTTAGGCGTTCGCCTACAATACCGAAGGTCCTCGGTTCGGATCCTGAGGGGCGCAACACTGATCCAACATTGATCGATTCATGGTTTCAAAAATGAATAATCATATATCACAAACTTTACTGAAAACCATATATCCGATTATAAGAAACATGACATTTTGGTTTTGTAGTCGGATGACGTTCGTGACCAAGGCTTGTGAGAAACAAATAATCACTGTGTGGTTCCGAAGAGAGTTACACACTGTCATATTCTGAAATTTTATCAATGACTCTCTCATGGAAAAACAAAGATGAGCATAATAACTGACCGTTAGATAATAATGATCAAGATGTCTGTTTAATCTTTACTATTAATCGAACTTCTCTGATCAAGTTGCAATACAGTCATTTGTCGTAATGAATCAACATTCAATTTATATTTTACATAACATTTAGTCCATACAATGTAGAGGCTGCTAATTCTATTGGTAAACGTCATAACATCATTTTAAATCACTTCAATGCTAACTGAACTACATCTACATAATATGCAGTTTCTTTCGCGAAAAAAATATGCTTAACAAAGTGATCATTTCATTCATCACTGTTCGAATAAACACTGGTCAGCTGTCAGAATTTGAACTACACTGGACTTGGAACATATCAAAGGAAGGCAATGTAAATAAACAAGAAGAATTTTCAGAAGCTTGGGACTAAGTTCAATTAAAGATCAATAAACATGCTGAAGTAGAGCCAAATGATCAAATAATTAGCAAATTGGTAAAGAACTGCAGAGTTAAGAATGATACCAGGCAGTGATTGTAATTAATTCAAAGATAGTGTGTTAAGAATGACAGGACGATTACTGACAACAGCCAGAACATGCTTTCAGTCTGTCGAATATCTTGCCTCCATCTGCAGTTTGTATTGATGATATTGTCTAGAAAAACTCTGAAAGCTTCACAATTAGTCTATCTAGCGTTGAAAATGAAACTTTATCAACATCAGCCTACTTCTATACAGCTGATAATATCAAAATCATTAGTGGTTCTTAACTTATTTTAGTAAATGATTGGTAGTTAATGTTCAGTTTTCGTAAAATCAGTCATAATTAATTCGAAATCCAATACAATGTGTGTCTGCAGTATCGTGAAGCGATTAACGTTAGACATTAACATTCTTGAAAGCCTGTCCTGTGGTCTTAAGGTCAAGCTTTCGCGCGCAAAACTGAAGGTCTTTAATTCGATCCATGACGAAGATTCCCATACTAAGGTCAAATCGTAGTCCAGTAGTTCCTGGTTTCTAACGATGATAGAGCTAAAATCTGAACTTGATTGGAATAATAAAAAACCTACAATCTCTAAAAAAACCGTACGCTGATAAGTACAATTTTATATGTAATATGTGGAAAGTCATTTAATGCACCAGTGAAGGCAACCACGATTACTGTCTATATTTATACAACTGCAATATATAAGTAAACAGATTAAAAAAAGAGAGACTGAATGTGAATTGTTATGATGACTCTAGATATGATGAAGACAGTGATAGTATTTATCAATAGTAGGTCAAACGTGGATGAACAGACTTCAAATAATCAATAAAAACATCAAAACCATTACGTAATAAGCAAATGTGTGAAAATTTAAAAAAAATAAAAAATATAATGTCAATCGTTAGTTACGTCATATCCGGCCACGGAAGAGATAGGAGTGTCACG